GGCGCCAGTGTTTTTTAATCCGAACGGCATCACGTTATAACAATAGGTGTCTCACTTAGTGATAAAATAATTTTTTCCTTGATCGCCCGAGTCCATTCGGATTTGGTTGTACCCGGAATAGGCGTCTAGAAAGCTGAGTATCTTGTGCCCGACCGTTGCATCGATCATGCGATCGATATTAGGCAAAGGAAAAGAATCCTTGGGGCAGGCCTTGTTCAAGTCTTTATAATCTACGCACATTCTTAATTTATTTCCCTTTTTAGGCACTACTACTACGTTAGCCAATCAATCCGGGTACTTAACTTCCCGAAGGGAACCTATTCTAAGGAGCTTAGATACCTCGTCTTTGATGAATGCATTCTTGACTTTGGAATGAGGCCTTCTTTTCTATTTAACCGAGTGGAACTTTCAATTCAAGCTTAGCTTATGAGTGGTTATTTCTGGTGGGATCCATGTCATATCTAAATGGGACCAAGCAAAACAATCTACGTTAGCTATAAGGAATTCAATGAGTTTTTTTCTGATCCCGGGAGTTAACCCCGTACCCAGGTATACCTTCCGATCGGGCAAGTGTTCGATCAATATGACTTGCTACAACTCCTTGACCATCGATTTGGTGGCATCAGAATCATCAAGGGAGATGAACAACCTGGGAACTCCGTAGTCATCATCCTCGCCTGCCTCTAGCTTCTCCGGTTCGGTCGAAACCTGTGTCGGTGATTGCTGTTTAGTTTTTTCCTTCCTATTTGACTCTGGGTTCTTTGATGCCGAGAGTGCTGACATTGGGATCACCTCATCGACCGCGAACATTTCTTTTCCGACCGGATGCTCTCCGTAAAATGTCTTGATCCCTCCAGGTGTAGGGAACTTCAATGCCTGGTGTAGTGTCGCGGATACTGCCCTTATATTGTGAATTCATGGCCTTCCGAATAGAGCATTATATCTCATATCCCCCTCAATCACGTAGAACTTCGTTTCCTGAATGGTTCTGACAGTGTTCATTGAAAGGGTTATCTCCCCTTTAGTAGTTTCACATGCCATGTTGAATCCGTTTAAAACCTGGATTGCAGGCACTATTTGGTCTTGTAGACCCAGCTGTTCTACGACCCTCGATTTGATGATATTGGCCGAGCTATCTTGATCAATTAACACACGCTTAACTCGAGATTTATTTATGAGTACATATATTACCAGTGTATCGTTATGCAGTTGCACGATGCCTTCAGCGTCCTCATCATTGAAAGAGATGGTCCCCTCCGGCATGTAATCTCGGGTTCGTTTTTCCCTTGTAATGGACACCTTAGTGCGCTTTAGCATTGGCCCCTGAGGGACGTCGATTCCACCAATGATCATGTTAATGACGTGCTGAGGTTCCTCTTGCTCGGTCTATTTGTTGGAGTCCGTATTCCTGAAGTGATTTTTGGCTCGATCACTCAGAAATTCTCGGAGGTGCCCGTTATTGAATAAACGGGCCACTTCTTCTCTCAGTTGTCGGCAGTCCTCAGTACTGTGGCCGTGAGTGCCATGATATTTACACATCAGGTTGGGGTTTCTTTGGGCAGGATCGGACTGCAATGGCTGAGGCAACTTGGTATCTTTGATGCATCAGATGGCAGATACGATGCCAGCAATATTGATGCTAAAGTTGTATTCCGATAACCTTGGTGCCTCCCTGGCCCCTAGCGACATGTCGAAACCATTTTTACTCATGAGTTTCCGGCTATTATGTCCTCGATCGCTCCTGTTTCCACTCCTCACAGTGTTACATTCGGACCCGCTACCCCTTTGATCTTCGTTGTACGGTTGATACCAATCTCTATTCGGTCTTGGTTCATGGTCGACAACTCTTTTAGACCTGTCACTAGTTCTGATAGGATAAACGAACCCGGAGGGCGCCCATAGCTGATCATCCTCGACTCTAATTTTTGATTGGTACTTATTATGAACGTCAACCCAAGTTACCGCCGGGTACTCTATTAAGTTCTGTTTCAGCTGCTGTGAAGCTAAAGAGCTTTGGGGGTTGAGTCCTTGAGTGAATGCCTGAACGGCCCAATCGTCCGCGACTGGAGGCAGGTCCATTCGTTCCATTTGGAATCTCGACACGAATTCCCTGAGCATTTTGTTGTCTCTTTGTTTCACTTTGAAAAGGTCTGATTGTCTGATCTCGACCTTGATGGCCTTGGCATATTACGAAGTCATCTGCAAGCATAGGAAATGAATCAATTGAATTAGGGGGTAAGTTGTGATTCCAAATCATTGCTCCTTTCGACAGGGTTTCTTCGAACTTTTTCAGCAGAGCCGATTCGATTTCATCGTCCTCTAAGTCGTTTTCCTTGATGGCACACATGTAGGAGGTCACGTGCTCATTTAAATCCGTAGTTCCGTTATACTTTAGAATTTCAGGAATACGAAACTTCTTCGGGATTGTTTTTGGTGCCGCGCTCGGAGGGAAATATTTTTGGACAAATTTCTTGGATTCCAAGCCTTTCAATATCGGGGGTGCTCCTGGGATTTGATCAACTTTGGAGTTATATGTCTCCACTTTTTTTTCATTGGTTCGATCTTCTTTTTCCCTGATTCCACACGCTTTGTCAGTTCCTCGAGCATCTTTATTATTTCGGTGGTGGTCCCGGATTCGACTTCACCCGGCCTCTCCATGGTTTGTTCATTTCTTCGGGTGTTTTCCCGGGACGGTCTGGGCTCAACTCTACTGGGGGGAGGCTTTGGTTCTGTAGCTGGTTTATCGCTGCCTGTTAAGCTTGCAATATTTCGAAGATCACCCGCAAATTGATTCCATTGCCTTCACCATTGTGCCTACCTCGGGTTGTTGATCGTGCTACTCTGCGAACGCTGTTCTCAGGTCGGTAGGCAAGTTTGTGTCGATGGCCACATGTGAGTTGGCATCGATTGGGTCTGTAACCGGAACTCCGTTGGGGTCAGTAGGGGGTACCTCGTTGCTGGGCACTATATTGTTGTTCTCGCAATGGTGGCCAGACTCAGCATCAACATTCAAGTGAGCAGATTGAGTGTTTGACATTCTTAAGTTAACCTGAAATTAAAATCTCAAAGAACTAGCGTAAAACAGAGTGTGTTATGGAAATTTGTATCAAATTACCACTATTATCCTTAGCCCCACGGTGGGCGCCAAACTGTTTACCCTTGAAAACAGATAACAATTGAATTTATACGCGATTTTAAAGATATGTGGATTAACACTGCTAGAAATCCGGTAAAAACCGACCAAAAAAATTGACCAACGTTGGTCAGTAATGGCCAAAAATCGACCAAAATACGACCATTTACGTGTGAACGGTATTTTTGTGGTCGGAAAGGAATACCGACCAAAGTTGGTGGGAAATTACCGACCAACTTTGGTCGGTCAATTAAATTCAAAAAAAAATATTGCAAAAAAAAAAACGACCAAAGTTGGTCGGTATTTTAATTATGTAATAAAAAGATTCACCATCTAGGAATCGAACCGGGGTCTGTACTGTAGCAGGATACTATTCTACCACTAGACCATTGGTATATTTTATTTTAAGAGTGTCTTTTATTTGATTTATACTCTTTAATTGTATTTTCGCACGAAAATAACTGACCAAAGTTGGTCGGTTTTATTAAAAAGTAAAATTACCGACCAAAGTTGGTCGGTTTTTTTAAATGACCCGTCGAATTAATCGACCAATTTTTGTCGATTTTTTTAATATTAATTTTTATTTATTTTAATTGAAAAACCGACCAAAGTTGGTCGGTTTCTTGAAAAATAATTCCGCGGGACTCAAAAATAGTTTCCCGCATTTTTGCGCCAAAGAAAACCGACCAAAGTTGGTCGATTTCGTTAAAAAAAAAATATTTTGAACAAATCGACCAACTTTGGTCCGTTTTTTGGTCGGTTTTTTGACCGACCAAAGTTGGTCGGTCGACCTTGGTCGGTTTTTGCCGAATTTCTAGTAGTGTAATTCAATACAAGTGATCAATAACGTTAAATTAAGCAAAAAAAAAAGACGTAATAAATGATCAAACCAATAATAAGAGTGATCCCGAGCTTGGTTAATAGTTTAACAAGGAAACTGCCTTCGGTATCGAGCTTGCACTTATGAAGAACTTATGAACAAAAAATAAGGACTTTGAATAACCTTATGAAAAACTAGAAGTAAATTGTCTCGTTATGCGTGTTTCAATGTCCCTAATGAATAATAAGCTTCCCCTTTATATAGTGAGGGGGTTTTACCCTAAGTACAATTCTAAGAAAGGTAAAAAAATTTCGTTTCGCTAATCACTGATTTTCTGCCGATACGGGTCGAGATTCACGTCGTGATATCCGATTGGGCGCGGATATCACAGCCCTTTGTTAGTTATGTGCGGTTGTTTGGTAATACTCTCCGAAGTCTCGGGGCTCGAACCGGACCCGGAGGACGTGGTCCTGATGCCCCCGATGGCAGGTATTTTGCTCGAGCCCTGATACGAGGAGCTCCTTGCTCCGATTCCGACTTCTTACGGTCACGTCCCTGCTCTGTTTGCCTCACCGGGAAACCGGGGTGCTTAGAGGGCTCGGTTTTACCCGTATACAAAAGATAAGGTTTGCATACGCACTACCTTTCTCAGACCCCTCGTTTGTTGTTGTTGGTGGTGGTGGCCATATATAACTCATCAACCAGGCTTGGTTCAAGTACAGATCGTTAGAACAGATCGTGTTCAAGTAAGGTCGTTTTCACGACCTTCTTTATACATAAATTAAAGAACTAATAATTGTACAACTGTTTTGTTATCACAATGAGAAAAAAAAAAACATGGAGATAACATCTTTAAATAAATTTTGGACATGCCAACCCAGAAAATCATTTACTTTTCAATGTTATTTTAAAGTTTGATTATATTCATGAGCTGCACGTTAATGGAAATCTCAGCGAAAGGGGTTGACATAAAAGAAATTTTTGCCTATAAGAACTGTTTGTAGATCCCATGTAAGAACACACAGCTTATAACTTTAACAACAAACTTTCTGTCTTCAAAAAAAATTTCCTTTGGGAATGGATTTGAGAGATAATAATTCAGCTAAAATCAGATTAAGTGATGGGAGATACTTGGCCTATAAAGAGAGAGGTGTTCCAAAGGAGAAATCCAATTATAGAATTATATTTGTTCATGGCTTTGACGGCCGCAAAGAAAGGGATTTTCTTGCACCCCAGGTATAAGTGAATAGCTCCTCATTGTTCGATCATTTGATAATTAAAATCATTCTTTGATAAATGTGTCAAACTCAATAGAATTTGATCAATCTTATTTTTTGTTGTCAATGTGGATTAAGTTTATTTTGTCTCTGTACATGTGCTTGGAGTGATGACAGTAGTGAAAATATAATAGAGATTTTTTTAAGGGTTTTAGAAAATTTCATTTAAACTATGAATATTCTCCCCTGATCTAATATAATATATATGGACATATGAGAAAAATAGATGCGAAGGGGTATCAATGATTTAGAGCCAAGAATATTTATTTAATTTTTTCTTTTTAATGTTGAATGTTCTTTGATTTAGAGCCAAGAATACTTACCACCAAGTGTGTGGTGAGATAAATCAAATCCCTCTACTTTTAATTAGAATTTTTTGGTTTGAGTCTTAAATATGGAGAAATTCTAAGTTAATGAGCCTTAGCGTGAACTCGAATTAGTAAGACCAGTAGGTATCGGAAAAAATTGTACTTACATATTGTCACATATACTGATTAATTAATACGTTTTGGAAAATGAGTTAATTAGGATGTAGTTGTTGATTCTTGAAATAATGAACAGGAAATGATGAACAAGATGGGGATATATATAGTTCAATACGATAGAGCTGGATACGGGGAAAGTGATCCAAACCCAAAACGATCCCTAAGGAGTGAAGCATCTGACATTGAGGAATTGGCTGATCACTTGCAATTAGGATCAAAGTTCTATATTATTTGTAGCTCAATGGGATGTTACCCAACTTGGAGTTGCATCAAACACATTCCCAACAGGTAAAATCAACTCTTTTGCGTTACACACAGATAGTGGCGTACGCATGCTTTTTTATAACCGGTGTCACATTTAAAAGAGTAAGCAAATAAATTTGAAACGAAGTCGCGAAAAAAATAATAATTTAGATCATATCAATTATTTTTAAAGATGTTAAGAGACAAAAGTGTGTTGGTTTGGGCTTGAACCCCATAACCAAACTTGAAAATTGCAACGCCTTAACCAGCGGACCAAGCAACGCAAATTTACCAAGTGGTTTTATTCTATATTATTTATAAGTATTTGTTAATTTTTGTATATCATTTATATGTGTATTTAGTGAAATTTTCTGGCGAAATGCATAACCTAAGGTAAATCTGCCCTGCGCACACATACACACCTAAGTTTTATTTTGTAACATATAAATATTACGCTTACATTTCTTGTTTTAATTTATTTGTGACCGTTCATTTATCTAAAATATAAAATTATTTTTTCCTTTAAATCTTTTAATGTTACAGGTTAGCAGGGGTAGCGTTTGTTGTTCCCATTGTGAATTACCAATGGCCATCCCTTCCTCACAATCTCACAAAGGATGATCAAAGGAAGAAAAACTATTGGTGGATGACTATGACTGCTAAATATGTTCCTAAATTACTACAGTGGTGGGCGATTCGAAAAACTTCTTCTACCAATGATCCAAAAACTACATACTTTACTTCCAAGGATTTAGAGATTATAAAGAATATACCAGGATTTCAGGGTTTTAGTCCGGTAAAATATCACTTAAATTCGCAGTTATCTCAATGTTTTCTGTACTATTTTTTATATATGTCCAAATTGTCTTTTACATTGTGAAGGGAACCTTGGAGCAACGGTAAAATTGTCTCCGTGTGACCTATAGGTCACGGGTTCGAGCCGTGGAAACAGCCACTAATGCCTACATTAGTTAGGTTATCTACATCATATCCCTTGGGGTGCTGCATTAGGTTAGGCTGTCTACATCACGTCCCTTAAAGTGCGACTGCCTTTCCCCGGACCCTACGTGAATGCAGGATGTTTTGTGCACCGAGCTGCCCTTTTTAATGCCAAATTGGACTTAGATGCATAAATCATCTTAAATATAACTTCTGGAGAGTAAGGTGGGATTTTCTACTTGCCATGGTACAGGAAAAACTAAGGAACAGAAGTGTTTTCAACAATCTTTGCAGTGATTTCCTTGTGGCTTTTAGTAGGTGGGATTTTGATCCTTTGGAGCTAAGCAATCCTTTTCCAGAAAATGGTCAGAGTTGTGTTCACATTTGGCAAGGCAGTGAGGATAAAGTTATTAATCTAAAACTACAAAGGCATATTGCAAACAGGTTACCTTGGATTCAATATCACGAAGTTCCTAATAACGGACATCTATTGATCTATGATACTACTGTTTGTGAAGCCATTTTAAGGTATCTTTTGATTGGAGAAACTCCACCATCTTATCCAACTAAGTCATAGTTTATAGTCATCACTGTCGCATGACCAAGAGGTCACGGGTTCAAGCTGTGAAAACAGCCTCTGCTGCATACTATAGGCCCTTGTGGTCCGGCCCTTCCCCGGACCTCGCGCATAGCGGGAGCTTAGTGCACCGGGCTGCCCTTTTTACTGTCACATAACCATGTTCAGATGTTTACATATTGAATTTCCTTTTTTTGCCCTTTTTGTACTTATCGGATGATGTATTTCATAATGTGACATGTTACAAAAAAAAAAATTAAAACAAAACACTGCTTTTAGCTATAATAGCACTTCAATGCCAGTGTTCCTATAGCATGATACCAACATCTGTGATAATGTTCCTTCCTAATGCACCTAAAACATGTCAACTGTTTTACAGAACAACCAGAAATTGAACACAATAATCTAAGAGCAAAAGCTTAAGGGTAAATAAGAGAGCCTTAGCTGAAACAGTAGATAATGATAAACTTTTACCTCAGATTTATTACAAAAGCTAATGAAGTTCACAATTATCAGTTAAGTACTTAAGTTGCTAATCAAACGTTTGCTCAGGGTAGTTACCGTCTTACTCACAGATACATGATCGATGCTAAATTTACATCATACAGTTTCACTCAACTAGTCAAAAGTTTCCTCAAGATGGTTTCACAAAAACTAGCATTGTAAATTAACAAATGTCCAGCATTAGGAACCTCATGATATTGAATCCACGGAAGCTTCTCTGCTAGATAACGGTTGAGTTCACGTGGGATAATTCTGTCATCGTGGCCTTGCCAAAGATGGACAGAACCTTCGTTCTTTGGAAAAGGATTTGTAATCTCCGTTGGGGCAAAGTCCCAGTTTCCAAAAGCTATTATCATGTCCCGATACAAACATTCAAACTCGCCCTGCTGTCGAACTTTTTCCTGGAGAAAAACATAGTTCCATTATTACGACTCCCTTAACAGTAAGCAAATAGCTAGTACAGCATTAGATGTCTTCCTCACTTATTTCATCAACAACGTCATCCGTTAAGAATAGACTAGAGAAAAAATAGCGTTGTGAGGGTTTCTGCCAATGGAAGAGAACAGGCAACCAAAGACCACATCTTGATTCATCGAAATGTTTATTTGGCTAGATATTTAAAAACTTTGCTGATATTTTCATATCATCGTGATGTTTCTTGAAGGGAAGGAACACAACAGCTTCCCAAATAGGAAACAGCATGATGTTTCTTGTTTACTCTTGGCATAAGTATTGGGATCCCTACATCTGTAGATGACGTTTTTTCTAGAAAGGACTAAGTTTATATAGCTCTCTTTGCTTCGTATACTTCTTATATAACGGGGAAATCCTCTTTCTTTAATTAATATAATCTTCTCTCTCATCGAAAATGAAAGTGAGAATCATTTACCTGACCAGGACTAGGGGCAGCTGATAACTGTTTCACTATTTCTAGATCTGGAGGACTAAATATGGCCATATTCCCTTCCGTAATACTTAAAGCGCGGAACCACTTTTGGTTCATCCACCAATGAACCAGCCATGGGGCATAATGTACAACCCGAAATGTTCGCTGATCTTGAGCAAGCATCTTTCCCAAAGCTTCTTTCGATAGTTTTGCAGGATAACAGGACCACCAGTAATTTACAAATGGAACAACAAGAGCAACTCCAGCCAGCCTGCGTAGACATTTCAATTGTTTGAATAAAAGGACTGAAATGGAACTTCTCCGGGTTTCTAATTTTAAACAATATGAAACAGGGTGAAGGTCATTTCTGAAAATCAAAGAAAAAGATGAAAATGATACCTATTCGGTATGTACTTTAGGCAACTCCACAGAGGATAGGCTCCCATGGACAAGCCAAGCACATAGAACTTGGGTCCTAGTTGCAACTTATCCGCTAGCTCCTCAATGTCAAGTGCTTCACTCTTTACTGAGCGCTTTGGATGTGGATTACTCTCTCCATAACCAGCACGATCATATTGTAGGAGATATATTTGGAGCTCTTGTATGAGGTCCTGGGTACTTAAAACAGAATCAGCTAAATGAATTACAAAGTTCAAGTACCAAAGGTTTACTAAAGACGACCTCCAATTCTAAGGATAAAAGAAAACTATATTGATGTTGCAAATCCATAGCCCATCATAAGTTTATAAAGTTCTCCATCTTCTCAGCATGAGGTATAAGAAATAATAGACGAACTGCTTCCCATGTGTAATAGCTACTAAAATGAAGACGCTAAATATTCAGTTTTATAAATTTCCATCTACTAACTTTCATACCTGGGAAATAGGTAATGTCAAGTCTTTAGAACTATCAAAGCCGTGAACAATAATGATCTTGTACTTTGCCTTCTCCTTCGCAATGCCTTCCTCTTTATAGGCTAGAAATCTCCCATCACTAAGTTGGACCCTTGGCGAAGTCACTGGAGGACCACCCAGTGAGCCACAAACTTTAGGAGGGGGAGGCTTAAGCAATGCCAGATAAGCCCATCCCAACACTCCAACTGTTGTTGCTATTGCTATTTGTGCAATCATAACTGAAAAGAGAAGGGATGAATAAGAGAATAGAGGAATAGGGTGCAAAACAAAATAGACAAAAAATAGTAGTAATCAGGAGACTCGAATGCGGATGACACTGGAATAGTGATAACACATGACAGGTAATGGCCACTGCTTCCCCACTACCATTCTCAGCATAACCACAGCCAATCATCTATCCTAATACAACCTAAATGCTATACGTCACAGAAATGTGATGTCATAAACTTATTGCGCCTCGCTCATCTATTGACTTGGCTGCCCAAAACATTCTGCCGAGAACCACCCTGGCACATTTTGCTTGCAGCTCACTCATAAATTACGAGAAATCCAAGCAAAGCCTATCAGACTTAATGCATATTCATCTGGACAGAGGGCATGTGTCTTAAGAACACATATCAAACATAATTTGACAGTAGAACTCAGATCTCAAATCAGACCTCTGGAAGGCACTTGTCATTAGAAGTTATACAACAAGAACAGATATGAGAAAAGTGTTTAGTAGGTAGCTAAGGCACAAGTGAAGCTTGGCCTCTATAAGGCATTAAAAGATGGACCCAAAAAAGCCATATAGCAATTTTTGGTGACAGATCATTGTGTTCATATCATGCTCGAAAAAACTTTGCAATTGTATTTCAAATGCTCTGCATCTAACAAGATTCTGCTACAACAACAAACCCAGTGTAATCCCACAAGTGAGGTTTGGGGAGGGTTAGTGTATATGCAGACCTTAACCCTACCTTTAAGAAGGCAGAGAGGTTGTTTCCGGTAGACCCTTGGCTCAAGAAAGATAAAAGGAACGAACAAGATTCTGCCACAACAACAAATAATAATTAATCATCTAAAATATGCAATGCCCTTGTAATAACAAGTTTCTCACACCAAAACCCACTCCTGATCATGTTTCTACAAGTACAACAGAAAATGGCACACATCAAAACATCCTAGCTAACAGAAATGGCACACATCAGAACATTCTAAGTTTTGATGTGATATAAAAACTGAGTTTCAAATTTCAGTAAGCCACACAATGGCTTTCAGTAAGAAGTCCGACCCCATTATCACAGAAAAGATCTTAAATCTAATGGTTCGATAACTGCATCTGCTGAATTTATTGTAAAAAGGATACAATTAACCAAATAATCAAGAAACCAAGGCGAACAGTCTACAGAACATTCCCCTTTTCAAAACATAAATTACACATTCAAGAAAAATACATCTATCATTATCCCCTCATTTTAGCAACTTGTTCATCATATGCTAATTTCAGAATACACACAAGCAGAATATTCTTTCATTTCTCCATTTCAAAATGGAGAATTGAAAACAGCACAGTGAAAGCAAATATCATATTAGTAGCAACTACAGTACAAAAATCAGCTGAAAAAGTGAAAGCAAATATCAGATTAATAGCAACTACAGTACAAAAATCAACTGAAAAAGGTGTAATGCAACACATAAGATTAAAATCAGCAGACCAATCCCAAATATCGATGATTCAATAAAACAACAGCAAAATAGAAAAAAGAAGGTAAAATTGTTGAAAAAAGATAAAATTTTGAAAGGAAACCCACTTGAAGAAAGACGAAATGGGGTGTTATTCTTGGATTTTCTGGTGTGAGCTCTAGCAGAAGCAGCAGTTACTCTTTTACCACTTTGATTTACAGCCATTAGAACAAAGTATATATATGTATAAATGAGAGAATGAGCAGTGGGTAATTCTGTGGAAGGAATTATGCTGCCAATCCACTTCAAAAGAGCAGTAAAATAAAACGTGCTGTCTGACTTGAAGAGGAGAAAGAGCCCACAAGAGAAATTTGATTTGATGTTGTCTTGTCCAAATGGAGAATGAATTTTTCACCCAAATACCGAACCTCACTAAAGGCTACCTAATAATTCCGTCTCTGGTATTTAATTGCGTCCATGATTTAAGAGAAAGAGAAATACTTTTGACACGTATCATCGTGATATTTTTATACCAAATAAATCAAAATTACATTTCTTATATTATGTCACGTCCAAATCGTTTAGTATAAACTTACTTAAAATCTATTATAGACATGTAAATCTAAATTGTTCACCTTCATAGCATGTTTGGCCAAACTGGAAAAAATATACTTATTTTAATAAGTATTTTTTTTAAAAGTATTTTTCAAAAAATAACTTTTGAGGAGAAGCAGTTTGTGTTTGGCTAATCAGTCTGAAAAGTACTTTTAAGCAATAATTTATGTTTGGCCAAGTTTTTCAAAAAGTGTTTTTAAGTATCAAATTACTAATAAGGACATAAAAAGATTTACTTAATAGTTAATATTATATGAATAAATAAATAATCTCAAATGTTTATTATTAAAGATAATAATTAAGTTTTTTCATTTTATTTAAGTAAAACATGAAAATAAAATTAAAAAGTACTTTAATTATTTCAAGATGATTTAAATATGTCAGAAAATTATTTAACAAATATAAAAGTATTCCTCCCAAAAGTTATCATATATTAGAAAGTTATCCAAGAAATAAAAATAAAATATTTATACATTAGGAGAGTTCAATAATATAATCTCTAATTCTAAGTATTAGGTTTAAAATAAGTAAGGTTATTATGATATATATCATATTTTGTTAAGGGTATTTTTGGTAAGAATAAAAGTCAAAATTGCTTCTGCTTCTGGGGAGAAACTACTTTTTTATGCTTCTCTAAAATAATTTCTCCTTCTTCCTAAAAGCACTTTTTTTCACCAAAAAAGTATGGCCAAACACCTCAAGTTGAGAAAAAAGTGCATTTTGAGAAATTTAAAAAAAAAAAAAAAAAACACTTTTGGGGTGGGGAGAAGTTTGGCCAAACAGACTATAAATCTCAATCTCAAATCTAAAATTTCACCAAGAACCACAAATCTTCTCCAAACTCCCTAAAATTTGAGATTTAGCTCCCGCTATAGATTTTGGCTATTTTTTTTTCAAAATATCTTGGAAAATATGTATTGTTTGTTCATGGAATATGATTAGTTTTTGGAAAAAAAAAAATCAAGTTCTCAAAAACTGGTTTAGGGTAGTTTTTGGGTGAAAATTTTTCTTCCACTCACAAAATTTCAATTATTTTTAATAAAATACATGTCCAAATACAACTTCAACTCCAAAAAATATTTTTAAATACAATTTCAAAAACTCTTTTTTCAAGTTTCAACAAAATTAATGTTCAAATGCTAGCTTAGACTCTTCAAAAGATCCCCAATAAAATTCAATAACACTCGCTTGAAACAAATCACTACTTTCCCCACCTATGTCGGAAAAATATCTGAAATACTCCATTAACAGTGAGTGTTGAAGCTAGAGCTTTAAGTTTGAAAAACTCGGAGTTTGTGAAGGTGTGATTTTGTTTCAAGTGAGCGTTATTGATTCTTGTCAGGGATCTTTAATTTCGAGGAGTCTAAATATCAAATTAGTGAGTTTCGAAAAGATTTAACGTGGTTTTGGAGAAAATTTCATATTTGAGATTGAGGTTGAAAGATGAACATTTTAAATTTATATTTATAAAAGATTTTAACTTAGTCAATAGTAAACGACCTGGATGCGGTATAATAGATTTTAAAAGTTTGTTGTGATCTATAATAGATTTTAAGTCAGTCTACACAAAATGAACTGGATATTCTTATATTGCATTCCCTAAGTGAAATGATACCTTATAAATTGCTCTCGATCACGGCTTTTCAGGATATATTTTAGAAGTGTCTCGTGATCTATGATAGATTTTAACTCAGTCTATACTAAACGACCTGAATGTGCTTATGTTGCATGCCCTTTAGGTGAATCGACACATTATAAATTGCTTCCAGTTACATCTTTTCAAGATAAATTTCAAATGTATTGTGATTTAAAATAGCTTTTAACTCAGTCTGTACTAAACGACCTAGTATGCTTATTGTCACACCTTTTTTTAATCCCAAAAATATATATGTATGTTATGGATTGTGGGTTAAAAAAAAATTTTAATTAAAGTGATAAATTTTAGTAGAAATTATTTTATTTATAGAGTCGCCACTTGAAATTGATTTTTCACCTTTTAGTTGAATCCCTAGTCAAAGGAGGATTTGACTATATTATTATTGGTCTGTGAAAACAAAGTTCGGGTAAGAAATTCCATTGACCGGAGAGAAGGTGTAAGGCATTCCCCGAGTCCCGTGGTTCTAGCACAGTCGCTTTATTAACTTAAACTTGGCTTGAATTAATTTTGGACAAACTGTGATTTATACGATTTTCAAAATTTTTTTCCTATGTTCGCTTTTATTGCTTGATTAGATTTATGAAAATTATCTTTAAATAAGTCACGCATACGTATACTCATTTTATTTGGCTTGTCAAGAATCATGTCACGCGTACGTGTACACAATTAATAACACGTTTATAATTATTCGAAGTTTATTGGTCAAGTCGCGTGAACGCGCACTTGTATTGGGGTTAGCGTATCATAGTTATGTCATGGGAACCGTACCCAAACACATAATAATTATTAAGACGCGCCTAAAGCAACTAACGATGCTTATTATTCATTTCCTAAAACTAACTTTGAGATTATTGTAAGGCCGTAAGAGTATGGAAGTCATTGTAGAGAAGCATGAAATAGATTAATTAGTTATGGAACGGGGGCTAGCTATATGTGTTTGAGAAAAATTGGGCCAGCATATGGATAAATATGAACGTCCTAGTTTTTCTTTTGGGCTTCTGGCAAAACTTATCTCACTTGGTCCAAATCTTGAAAGAGCCCCAAACGGATCTAGTAATAATTGACATTAAACTCAATTTATCCAATATCTATTTCATGACAAAGATAGTAACATAATGTGGTTTAGAAAGAACAATTTAAAAATAATCAAATGCCATCACTTTTCAAATGATATTCCATCATCATGTAGTATCTCAAAGTCTAATTTACATAACCATTCATCATCAACAATCAAATCATATATCAAACATAAATGACGAACTCAAAAATATTTGAACAAATCAAGTCATGCTTTTAATCATGGAATCAAACTAGAAATATCGAAATGAGATGAAAATGAACCTTTGAATTGATGAACAAAGCTGAAAATTTGCAATTCAATCAGGCTAAATAAAGCAACGATCGTTGGGTTGAAACGCCGAAGCTATGAATCGGAATTTCGAATGGAAACCTCGCCGAATAGAACCTCGATCGCGTCCTTTTTCACGTCCAGATTTGAACAACGAAACCCTCCAATTTGGGGTGAAAATTGGCTGATTTGTGTGATTGTTCGGACTGGTTTTCATGTGGTTTCTAAACAGATTTTTAGATCTGTTCGGCATTGATTTTTGGACGGTTTTTGGGTTGATTTTGGGGGTATTTTTGTGCTGTTTTTCAGCAGCTCCGCAGCTGATTTTGCTGCATTTCTGGGTAGATTTTCAGCTGCATTTTTTGGGCTTTTGGCGGAGCTTTAGATGGTGTTAATGGGGTGAGTTTGGCATCTGTTTTCGCTTATGTTTTTGAGTGTTTTCAGCTGAATTTCAGCTGGGTTTTATGCTATTTAGGGAGGAAGAAAGGGTTATTTTGGGGTCATTTTTGGACGGAGAAGAGGGCTGGTTTGAGGGCAGAGTTTTTGGACTATTTTGTGGTGGTTTTGGGGCTATTTCTGGGTCTATTTTAAAGGCTGATTTCTGGTGTATTTTTGCTGGATTTTCTGAAGTTTGGTTGCTAGTTTTTGGTGATGTTTGGGTGCTTTACATGGCAATTTTAATGGAGAAAATGGTGGTTTTTGGGTGGTAATCTGGACTAGTCTTTTATGGAGGTTTGTGGGTATATAAATAATAAAAATAAGAGAGGAAAAGCGTAGGAAGAAAGTGATGGAACAAGGCAATAGTGGAAGAGGAGTGAGATGTAACACATGAATAGTGTGGTAGGTGAGTGATGTGACAAAGAAATAGTATAGGGAAGGTAGAAAGTAATTTTATTAGATTTGGCCCGTGATTAAAATAAATTCTCTTGTCCTCTATGTAATAGACTTTGTTAAAAATATTACATATTCTCTATAAAGCCTACTAATAAAAATAACATAAAAATTAAAATATCATGATTAAACCTAAAAAATATTAAATACAAAAAAGTAATAAAAATTCAAATATAGTCAAAAATTATGTGTTCACACTTATATTGCATTCCCATTATGTGAAGCAACACCTTATAAACCCGCATCTTCACTTGAAATCTTGTAAACTCGCATTGGTGCCTTGAGATTGAAGATTGATTCTTGAAGCTCGAGCTTGAATTGAGACTTAGATTGACTCTTGAATGCTCACTTCTTATTTATAAGTCGAGAAGATGGATTTTGAGATGCTGGTCGATGTGTGCATCACGTCAAAACTTGACCCCAACTGTCTTTGTGCTCGAACAACCTTCTTTTTCGATCAGAGTTTGAAACTTGATTCTTGGAAAATCGGGTTGCTGACACATTATCAAAGCTGACTCAGACTATCTTGTGATCTAAAGAACTCTTTTTTTCTGACGAGAACTAAAACTGCAAGCTTTAATGTCACAATCTGTGCTTTACGACAAGGTCTTACAAAACCATCATAGACGAACAAAACGAACAAAACTTTTCTGCATTTTTGCCCCAGTGTGACACTAGAAAATTTTTGTGAGTTATTAGAGAAAGCTATAAATTATCTAGTTTATTGAAAGGAAAACAAAGATAACAGAATAAACTAGCTATGTGAGGATATGCAACCACGTGCTAGTACCTTGCGTTACCAAAAGGAAATATAACAGTGGTTGGCACCTATATTACTGAAAAGTAATATAACCAAGGGTTGGTACCCTGTATCACTGAAAAGGAAATGTAACCAGGGGTTGATACCCTATATT